TTTGTATATAAGTAAGGAAGAAAAAAATTCTAAAAGTGAAAGGCAGAATCAGTATTTCTACTAAAAGGCAGATAATTGAAAACATGAGAAATTTAGTTCTCATTCTTCTAAGGGTTTTGTTGCTGGGTACAGGATGCATCTGCAACACTTAAAAAAACAGATTTCCCAAAGCACAACATTGCCTGGTTTGCCATAAAATAACCTGCTAGTGTCCAGAGTCTCTACTGACCACCCATTAGAAAAAAACCACCAAAAGAATTCACCACCAAAACCCCCCAAACATAAGCAAACAAAACATTCCCTCACAAAATCTCCCACCCACCCATTCACTATTCCCTCGGTGTTATCGTTCTAATAAATAAGAAAAAGTAAGATTTCTTTTGTTTTTCCCCTTAAGTAGTCTGCCAGCAAACAATGGAAGTGGACTGAATTTTACATTCAGAGGGCTTTCAGGATCATAGCCATAACTCCTCACTGAAAGCACACTACAGTACTCCAACACCAGCAAGCAGAATGTGCACCAGATGGAAGACTGGTTTCTCATAGCTGCAGTTTCCAATGTAATCCAACTATTAAACTAAACTAATACCAAAGCTGTAATTTTTCTTTTTTGCCTCAGCTTCTCCACTATGTGTATCAACGGTCCCAGCTCCCCCTTTGTGTTCTATCCAGCTCTGCATTCATCTTCCAGCTGGCACTGGGGCTGACCAACGCACAGCAACTCCTATGTGGATGGGACAGTTCCCTTCACAGGAATTTTTCACGTCCCAGCAGACCAAACCCACCACCAGTCATTTGGTGCCTCTGTTGCAAGTCAAATCAACCTGATCTCCTGGTCCTCAGCTTGCAGAGCTCAAATGGCTCTAGGGCAACATGTCACACAGGAACGTTCTAGGAACTTCTCTTTGAAAGCTCTTTCATTCTGACATATTTGCCAGAAATTGGTTAAGATTCAAAAGTACTTAAGAAGACACATGCACAAGACAGGATGATTAAATATATGTATGAAATAAGAAGGCTAAAATTGAAAAAATATGAATAGGAAAATTACCAGGATAGCATGTGACATGACAGAAATAATGTGGCAGGTACTGAGAAGTTTGAACATTTTTTCCACCTACATTTACCAAACCAGTAAAAAGATATATTCCCGGAGATCCTGCTTTACTCTCCTTTCAGACTACCACAGTGCCACCATAACTAATGCCATCAAACACAGTATTCCTACTGTCGTTTGTAAGAAATGGCAAATAGGAAGGAGGCAGCAGGACATGTAGTAAAGTCTGAAAATGTTGTGACTGTGAGGTAAACCTTAATAGTATGTTACTGCTATAGTAATCAACAATAAAATCTCCGCTCTCCCTCCGAGTCATTGCCATTCAATTTTGGAATTAATTGAGCTTTTCTGATGAATGAGGCAAATTCAGCTTTTGTGTATCTACTCTGAAGGTAACACTGCCCTAACTGTCAGGTTACACAAGGACTGTTTTCTTTTCAGCTAGAATGGCCACTCTTTTTCTTCTTTAATGTAAGCCTGAAGGCCAAGTAATTTTCACCAGCACTGGTGTTCTTGCAAGAGTTTATGGCATTGGGATAAGAGTTCTTATAGTAATTTGCAAGTCTTAACTGCAGCATGTTAAAAACATGCAAAAGCAGTAACTGATTTTGAAAAAACAGTTGATTTTATGCTTGTTAAACAGCACTCTAGTAATTATCTTGATCATCAACATCTTAAAATAGTAAAAATTAATTTCATGCTTAAATTGCTTACATAAAATATAGATGATTTACGTTAATGCTCTAAAATTGTGAAAAACCATGGCATATATGCCCTTTAGACTCCCATTTTCCCCCTTTGCCTGAAAGACTCTTACTGACAATGACTCATCTGTTGGCAATGGTTTATTCTTAGCAATTACAGACTTAACATGAATGTTTAAATACCATCAAAAACATTATGATATTTCAAAGTACATTAATGCAACGTTGGTACAATCTGTGAAATTCAGAACAGTCACAAGCAAATACCAGATGAAAAGCTACTTCCACTTTCCGTCTCAGTGTCAAATAGAAAGCTCAAACCAGGCTATGAATTATGTTATTCAGAGCCCCAGGGAAAGGGTCTATGCTCAAGGCCAGTCACTAGCAGGCTGGATCTTAAGCCCCATAACCACCGTCTAGAATCCTGGATCCTTTTAAAAAGGTCCACAAAACTAAAAAAGGCACAAGACAAATATTTCTTTTCATTACCTTGGATTGTCTTTCTTTTGTGAAAAGACGAGATATTCAGTCTCAGAGAATGAGACATTCTGTGAAAACATCCTTTCACACTCTTTCATCATATCTCTTCCGTATTTCTTGTGCGTAACCACTGCACCAGCACTTCATTTTGTTCTCTTCACTAAGGAAGTATTTTCTGACTTGTCTCATATTCTTGTCACTCACAGAGTTCTGGCTTAAGGGTTTTTTAAACCTTAACTCAGGGATCAGTCAGATCGGCTTTTAAAGAAGCTACTGCCCTGCTTGTTCTACTTAGTCTACTCCTCAATTGATATATTCTGATGTAAAAGCTGGTATGTTTCAATCAGTAATACTTCATTCTCAAACAAAGCATACCAGTCTCAGAACTCTATATTAAATCCACAGCTGAGCTGAACTAGAAACAGCTGAAACTGCTCGAGACAGAATGGATTGCTTTACTGGATCTTTTTCTTTCTTGCTCCTCACTCTTATTCTCTGCTAAGGATTGCAACCTCTGTAACAAAGGTAGCAAACCAGAAACTCTACCTTAGGTGTTTCGGTTGGTAATTCCAGAGTAGAGTTTTGTGTTATGTTTTGCACCAGAAGGGGATAAGACCGCTCTACCCTCTCCTTCCCATTCACGCACTCCTGCCATCTACCTTGCATTGGATCTAGCAACTGGGCAATTTCAAGTTGAGCTGGTTCAGACTTCTGATCCACCTCAGTCTGCAAATGGAAAGAAAAAATCACTTGATTCAATGGAGCAGAGGGTGCCAAACAATGCAATCAGAATTGCAAGGTGGAAAATGAGACAACCTTTTAGTAACAAAATGCAGTTATATTGATTTAAGAACAATGTGAAAGAATCTTTAAAGCAACCCCCTGCCCCTGTCATGTTTATTTCATCACCCTTTCCAAGATCTTCACTCTGCTCCAGGGTAAGCTGTTTTTGTTCCTGCCATGTGTTTTCTTAAGTGACTGAATCACTTTTCATATAAAAGCAATGGAATTGTGATGATTTTGCATTACAAAACATTAATTTATCTTTTAAAAATACTTCTTTGGTGTTTTTCCTATTCGTAGTTGGTGTATTACAAACTAAAAGTTTGGTATACTCAAAATCCTTCTCATAAGTGACCCTTCTCATTTTGCAAACTTGTGAAAATCAAACACAGTAAATTATTTAGATTGAATTCTCGTAATATCTATTTGCTTGATTCAGTGATAGAATTACATATTTCATGACCCAGCAGGAAAAGGTTATTTGTTTCTTGATCAATTTCTTCTATTAAAAATTAAAATGCAGAAGTTCCTTCCACTACTTGATTACAAGTTTACTACCTTCTTGTAGATCTACTCTTCTGTTTTGTGCCTGACTTCTTTAAAAATAAACCCAAAATGTACTACTTTAGCACTTCTTTTATTTCCTATGTATCATGACAGCCAACGCTAAAGTATAAGGAAACAGAACCACCCAAAGTTGCACATAATCCCTTTTCCAACACAGTGATCTATCTCTACCTCCCCTTGCTCTCTTTCGCCATTCATTGCACTGAATCTTTCCTACTTCTATGCAGTATCATTCTCTCTAATCACAATTTTTAAATCCACCTGTCTCTGTAGGTGAAATCTTAGACTGTGGACGAAAAAAGGAAGCTTGATAAAAGAAGTGCTTGCCGTTATTACAAATACTGAAAGGAAAAATTGAGTGACACTACTCTTTCAAATCTTGGACAATGTGATTCTGATAGCCTCACAAATACAACTTCCAGGAAAAGGAAGCCACAAGATTCTTGAAAACAAAACATTTAATATTTTCAGTAGTTTTAAGAGAGATTAATATGCAGAAATATGCTTATAAATTACACTTAATTACAAAATTCTCAGAGCTGCAGGTGTATTTCTCTGTTAAAGAACACTTCCTTTTTCCAAGGCACACATATCTAAATTTAGAGGTCAGGAAGGAAAGAACATGAGGATAAAGTAGGCAATGAAAGGAGGAAAAACAAAAAAAAGATGGGCAAGCATGGTGAATAGAGGGAGATAAAATGACAGATTACAATCAGAGACTGAAAAGAATGCAACCAGAAAAAAATTTAAAGGAGTACAGAAGAAACAAACACTGTATTAACACAAACGACTTCTAACTGATTAGTCATAAACTGTTGCCTTAGAAGCTGCCTCTCCAGGGGAAATAAAAGAATGATTAACTTCTAGAAAAAGTTGAAACAATATTAAAAAAAATGTATGAGAACATTATTTTGCATAAAATTGCTATTTTTAAGAACTTCCCTTTTACAACATACAAC